CCATAACGGCGGGCTCACACGCCAACATACAAATGTACATACATACATATTTGTACACATTTATGCATGTGTGCATGTAATATACAATAAGCATACATATTTTACATAAATGCATATGCATGGGCCTGAAATTGACACGAAAATGTCAACTGCAATTTCATTGCTGCTGTTGTCATAGTCACAGCATTGCCGTTGTCGTATCTGTCGTATCGTGTCGTGTTGTAGGCGCTGTGGTCGCCATCGAGTGGCTCCAAGTGGCAGCACATTCATCCAGCACTTGCCATAATTCGCTCACTTCACTCATGCATACATACAGTCGTCACAGGCAGCCGGCCTCGCAAGTAGAAGTTTAACAGCGCCATTTACTTACTCGAATATACATACATACATACTACGTTTGAGTGTTGCTTTGTCCTTTGTTTAAGTGTCACCAGCAAGCTCACTCACTCTTATGTCCTGCTTTGTCACTTTGCCGTTGGTTTTGTCTCATCGTCCTCGTCATCGCTGTCAACTTCTGGCACCGCTTTGCATTGTTGATGCTAGGTTCGTCGCTTCGCTTGTAATGTTAAATTTTAAAACATAATACTGTACGTTGACTAATGCATGCATACAAACATACTATATACATATGTACATATGTATGTGTGTATGCATGCGCATTAGGGTGGTTCCAAAAAGAAGTTAAGTCGGAATATAATGCTCCCATCCCCTAGGATTGTTATGTCGAAAAAGATATTACCAACTTTTTTTGAATTCAAAAAATATTTAGGCTCGCTCAAACCACTCAAAACTTGAATGTCATTATATGGACGTTTCAATATAACTATTGTTTATGATAGTATCTATTTTTATAGTATACCCTCAAAACACCCAAAAAATGCTAATGGGGGTAAATCTTGACGCTGAGACTCACAATTTTAATTCAAAAAGGTATGGTAGAGAGAACAATCCTAGGTTGTGAGAGCAGTAAACTGCCGATTTTACTTTTTGGGCCGCCCTAATGCAAACAGATATCTTTATAGGCAAATTCATTTACGCTATTACCAGAAGGTGACAATTGCTATGACAGTTGTACCCAAAGGAAACAACAAAAAGCATTGTTATGCTTGCAGCGACACTGTCTGCTTTATAATCTTCTTTCCAAAAGAGTATGCGGTTATGTTATTGGGTCACTTTGCATTTTTTTGGTGAAATTTAATTCTGATATGCCTTTTCTGCTTAGCTCTTTTCGAATTGCGACAGACATGCGTAGCCATTCATCCTTACATTTAAATGATCCAACAACCAGAACACAAACAGAAAACTTTTTTAGAGTTTTTTAAAGCAGATCTTTGTGAATTAAATATTAATACGGAAATGGCATACCTAGAATTCTTTAATTCTATACAAAATGCTTGAGATTTTAATGAACGAGGTTGTCGTTAGACTTACTTAGTTATTATACGAATACTTATTACTTATTTATACGAATATGTAAAGCGCTTCAAAACTGCTAACCAAATTTTTGTTAAAAAAAAAAAATTGTGTACAATAACTAGAAAATGTTTATGTTAAATGCATTCTATATTTATTTAGAGTTTTTTGATTTGGTAAAAGCAGTAAAATTATTTATTTAGTTTATTAAAACAATACCACTTTGTGAAGAATATATATGATGATAATTTTTAAATATTTTTTTTTTTGTAATTTGGGGAAAAACAAATACAAATGATATTTAAAAACAAAACCAATTTATTTTTATTAAAAAAACAATAGAGTTGAAAAATAAACATTTAAGGAAACGTCTGAAAGGGGTTAAGGATTGAAAAATCAAGCCGACACTCCTTGTAAATCCTCTCTTTCAATAGCTTCTTCAAAAATCATGCCAATAATTTCAGTCCATTTAGAATAGCCAGGATAACTTCCACCATCCATTTCCATAACCGGTGGTTATTACTCATTTACTTGATGTAGAATGGCCGTCATAGAAGGGAAAGAAACTATTTAGCAGTAGAGCTAGGCCATTCTCTATTCTTTATACTTTTTTCAAATTTTGCAACGGGGTGTCTCCGATAATACATAATTTTAAGAACATTATGATATTCTCACGAATATTTGGCTTTATAAATCAATATGCGAAACTCTCGCGATTATTAATTTAAAATATCTTAAAAACCTCTAACCAAAATATCGTTGATGATACTGCAAAACGTTTTACGCCAATTTACTTGTATTTCGCTTGCTGAAATAATCTGTTGCCGGTGTCTAAACACATCTTTTAATCTTTCATCTTCATTATGCTGACATGTAAAGTTTTTTCTTTGGTTTGTGCCGATGGAACGATACATTCGAATATAGGGGAACGATCATTATAGCACAAGAATTATACATTGAGTTAGAAAGTCTTACGGTATCACCTACGATATAAGAGGAACAAAAATAAGCAAAAATCCGTAGTTTCGATTACATGCATTAACTGTCATTTACAGCCTATTGAAAGCCTTGAATAGAAGGTTTTAAAAAATCATATCTACTATTTATGATAAGAAATTTATAAAAATATATTTACTGTAGTCATAAATCGCATTATTAATTATGATTTGCTGAACGCTTTAGTGCACATATTATATATAATTTTATTTAATTTGTATATTTTGTAGATTGAATTTAATTTAATTTAAAATTACTTAAAAATTAAATATGATTTGCCAGCATTGTGGTAGATGATTGCTACAAATGCATCAATAAATAATTGTGCGGTACTCACTAAGTTAGTTATTTAAATATTTTATGAAATAAATGAATAACTTTCTATTCCCTTGTTGTCGCTTCAACAACAACGACAATTCATTTTAATCAGAATCAGGTAACTTTAAACAAAAATCCACTGTACAACAGAGAAAAATAGCAAAGTTCGGAGAACGGATTCTGGTAGGGAAACAAAAACCCAGAGAATTGCCTAGTGCTAAAAGAAAAATTAAATAAATAAATTCTTGCATAAAAACCCAAACACTTACTCCTCCTTTTATTTATAAACACTCATATTACACATGCCTACATAGTATATACACTCCGTCTCATACACCAAGTACATGACAATTTAACAATTTTTTTATTGTTTTTAATTTTAGTTATTTTTTTATATATTTGATCCTTTTACAAAACCCATATATGCAAATCTAAGTTTAACCTTTGAACAATACTTAAAAAATTCCACAAGCTAACTAACAACAACAACAAACTACTTTTTCGATGCAGTTTAGTGCCAGATTTTAGCAGCAATTCAGAATAGGTAGAAAATTAACCTTCAAGCACATTTTCAGTTTATACTTATTGCTTGTATTAAATGAATTTTGTGCCTTGTTGTGTTGGGAGAATTATAATGGAATTGAATTGCAAATATTTTTGTAAAATATTTTAATCCGTTATATCCCCGTTTTATGANCGATGTTTTGACCAATTTTGGCTACTTTTCTTTCATTTATTTAATGTTTATAATTTTTTAATAAAAGTTTACATAATCAGCACAAAAGTTATAAAAATTAAATTTAATTAATTAAAATTTACACTTCAACCTTAAATTTTTTAGAAAAATATAGGCATGCCTTATAGCCCATTAAATTCTTGAAGGCTAAAGTGCAAATTTAATTTTTCTTTCATAAAAAAGTAATTGTCGAGCATACTTTAAATGGATGAAAACGCACAAAACAAAACAACCTTCTAAAATTTAATGTGCTATAAAACTGCATTTCTATAATTTTTCTGAAAAATCTGAATGAAAGAAGTAGCAAAATTTTTCTAAAAAATCTGAATAAAAAGTATTTAGAGGGTGTGCTGAATTTTAATAATTTTTGTACGAAGTTTTAAATGTGGATTTATGTGGTGCTGGTTACGTCAAGTTCTAGATTTTTACAAAAGGTTATAAACATTAAATCGGCAAAAGAAAAATAGCCAAAACTGGTCAAAATGTAACTTAACTTAATCAGCTGGTCACAAGGGTATATAGTTTTTTGATCCCCACTACCAGAATCTGTTGTCAAAACGCGGTTGTTTTGGAAAAAATTTGATTTTGTTGTACAGTGATATCAATGACGATAACAATATCGAAAAGTACGCCGATAACCCAACCAATATCGGTAGTTCCTTTAAGTGAAATGTTTTTTTTTCTATTTCCAATGCCTGTGCGATTCGGTAAATCGGCAGAATAATTCTAATTAGTAAAGACTTATTTTAAAGATGCCAATATTTATCTTCTTATTAAAAGTATGCCTACATTTTCTAAAACTATGTGAATGTGTACTTACTGGATAAAAAAATTGACTTCTCTTTCGCTTTTTATTCAACTTTTTAGCATTGAAACTTTTCTAAAATTCAACTATCACTAAAACACTAAGAAGCTCTAAATTTTTATCGCATAGTAAACAAGATCATGCTTCTAAGGTAAAATAAAAAGAGGCATTCACAATTTTTTTTCGATCGGTTTTCCACCGATCGTTTTTCGTAATTTCTGAGCTAGAAATATGTAAGCTACTATACGCTCATATCTATAGATACAAACCTATTATAAAACTGTATGTAAGAGTATAACAAAAGGAAATAGCTGCTATATTTTTAACCTTAAGCTGCTTTATATGCAACTTATCTACATTTCCGTGTTCCATAAAAATATATATTTACTTACATTTAAACTTTTATCTATCTACCTATATACATGTATGTATGTATCTGTCTAGTTGCCTCACTTTCTGTTCTATTTTATTGTTAAAGTTTTTCCTTGTTGTTGTTGTTGTTCTTTGAATAACTTCAATAATTGCAATGCATAATTTTCAATAAAATTTATTTATGAAATTTCTTTTTCTTCTGCTAAATACTACGTGCACACGAACATGTAAATGCAATCACTGGGAATTCAACTATAACAATCAAAATGAATTTTCAACGCCAACGGCAATGACAATGGCCATTTTCAACTACGCTTAACAACACCAAAATACAACAATACAAATGCCACGTCAATGTGACTTAATAACTTCGTCAACTATCATTTATCAATAACAAAAACAACAAATATCACCACACTACATCAACATCATTTGTTGCCTGCAGGCGCTCGCACAATACAAGATGGTGACTATGAAATTATTGTAGTTGATGAAAATAATCCATCGGTATTGGCGGATAATGATTCACATTCAAGTGGTCCACCCTCAATTAAGGTGAGTCATACAAATAGCATGCACGGATATGAAGTATACTGAGAATTTTAACCTTACACACACACACACACACCACACACACACACACACCACACATACATACAATCATGTACACCTGAGAGCGAAGATTTCATAATATCTTACGAAATAAATTTTTACCCCTAAACAACTCA